TACCTTCGCTACTACTTTATGCCATTACCACATCTTTGATCATCGTGAGTCTTTTACGACATGTCTTAAAGTGACGCTGCGAATGTATCGCGGTAATCCGGGTCGTAATATAAAAATCGATCGTATATCTCTGGCTTAACCATAACATGAATATATAATTCATAAATATGAATGAAAAAATGAAAAAATAAAAAAGTATTACTTTATCACTTTACAACGAAAACATAAGTCATATATCATCAAATTGCCGTTTAACTTTAACCATTTAAATTTAACAATTAAAATATCATTATTATCAAACAAAAGAAAATCAAGTTAATGATTTAGTCAGTTCCTTCATGTCATTTTAGGATTGAATTTTTTTTTCTTTCGTTTTAAGTTAATAATTAGATTATTTGTGTTTATAAAAATCTAGATTATAAATACTTTGTCATTAAAAGTGTGAAACGTGTACATAAAAAAACCTGTGTTACATTAATTAAGAGTAACCTATTTTCTAACCTTCAATCAAGTTAATTTGTGAAACAAAAACCTAATAAGAGCCAACTAGTGCATAAATTATTGCTAATAATAATTAGAGTTTACACACACACACACACATTCGGAATGACAAACCTAAATTTGAGTCTTCAGTGCTTCAATATGATGTGCATATATATTAGAGTAAAACAGCTACAACATTGAAATCTACGAATCCCCTCCATCCATGCAATTAAAGATTCAAATAGTTAAGATAAAGGTCACCGTGGAAATGAGAAGTCCAAAGTATCAAATTACAGTTTAATGGATAAATGGAGTCGCGAATCCAGTTTTAATTGTAAAATTTACATATCGACAGCAATATATAACTGTCGTATATATTCACTTGTCACTCAATAGCAATAGCATTCCAGAGTTACACAAATTATTTTGATGAATAGTACAACGATGAATGTTAAACGTGAATTATGTATTCTTCTCGTTTGAACTTTGCATGCAAAGGCATCAGCAGCACATTTCCTCCGTTCTTTTAACCCGCACATTTGCACTGTACATGGGCAACGTGCATTGCGTGCGAAACATCGATGCCTGACGTATCAGCTTATCGTAAATCTTTCCACGCACTGTAGTACGCGTGAGTATGTCATGAAACTCGGCTCATGCATCTTTAAGAAACCGCGAAGTCACTTCGCGCTTAAGAGCTCGCGGCATCGATTACCCCAAGTACTTGTTAGCTATGCTAACGACACTGAGCTACTTGCAGCGCACTTAAGTTCATAAATGTTCTTCAACTTTTGTAATTATTTTCTTTCGTTCTACGCCCTTATTGTAGATTATCATCCTGCCTATTATCCGTATCATTTCCTGAAGAGTTAACAGCGTCGCAACCAATCGCTTTAATGCTTTCAGTCATTAGGCAAATCCGATATCTCGAAAACGCACCAACTAACAGTTTGCGCATATCGGCGAATTATTTACAGACACTCTGTATACAAATTCTAGAGGTGTAATCAGTATAATATTGCTTTTATATCGCAATATAATACTTTCGCGAGAAATCATTCCACGATGCGTCAATACAATCTTGTGTGATTTTCTCCTCGCGTGAGACATTTCCGATCGACTTGCCATCGATGGTATCGATGAAGTACAACGATTTCTCAATACGACATTAAACGGCCGAAATAGTCGACTTTTACGAGCGCCCGTGATACGAGGTCGGCGTCGCGTCGCGTCGCGTCGTTCCTGCAAATTCGAACGTCGAACTACCTACTCGGCAATCGTCCATTCGCTGAGAGACACGTCACCTCAAAATTTCGTCTCGAACAATCGATACTTTTGTTTGGCGTCCTACATGCAGTGGCAGAGTTATTGATGAGCGGTCCAAAATATTTCAACAATAAAAGACAAGGACAAGTAACAGGAAGAAAATCGCGATAATCAGTAAGCAATAAATTCATAATAATTATTCATTTCCTGACCACATACTTAAAAATCGATCGAACATTTCGACTTAATTTTAATAGCCATCCTTAGCGATATTACAGTAATTATTCCGTAAAGATTTTACACGCGATATTAACAATTTTCAAAATAATCTATAACTTATAACTAACTGCTGCTTGATATTAATATATTATAATAGTATGCAATTGTATAGAGGTAAGTCAACAATTTTAGCCAAGTTTCTAAATTTTAAATAGTACCAAACATTTGTGCCTTAAGTTTATAATTATTAATATACGGTATAATAAGGTGTGTAAAGTGTTTTCGTGACTGAAAAGACCGCACCGTGGGGTGCCTAAAAAAATATGTCGTCTTTTCTGAAGTTTTAAATCCGCCAGCATTTGGAGCGAAAGACGGGAGAGCACATTGGCCGTCAACACGCCAATTGAGAACGTGCTCGGAACGAGTAGTCGGCGTCATCGTCACCATCATCGCCCTTTCTCATCGAAGTTACGCTAGGTTAGGCTAGATGTTTTGTCTAAACGAAGGAAGAGGTAAACTAAGGAAGAGAAAGAGAGAGAGAGAGAGAGAGAGAGAGAGAGAGAAGCAAAGTGCAGGAACCGAGAGTGAGTAAGACCGGGCAACTCACCAAGCGCGATATTGGGACCCATTGTTCTAAAGTCGCGACGCCCATAGAGACGAGGAACTATTGTGCGAAGGACCGACCGCCCTTGTTGTGCCACGTTCGCCGGCATCACGGCTCCGCTCGATTAAAAGGGTGTTAATTGATCCCTCGATCGACGCTTGGATGGCGAACGCCACCCGAACGAATTTCTCATATTGCCAAGCGCTTACAAGCGACTTGTTCTGTATTTGCCTGCATTCTACGGAATGACATTCTCGTGGTCGAAATAAACTATCGATTAGAAATTTCACGAAACTTAATAATGTTAAAAACATTGCCTGGTGTAACGGTTTTAGTAAATTAATATTTTTTTAATATAACTTCGATTTTTTTTTCCCTCCCTTTTCAGACATTCGCTATTTAATAAAATTTATAACGTAATATCAAACGACTAATTTACATTATACCTATTGCATCAGCATAATATTAAATAGATTAAGCTACTATACATTATATCTGTTGCATCAGAAATTAATTTACATCAAGACTGTGTTTCAATGTCGGCAAATAATCGACGCGCAGTCTGTATAAACTGAAAATTGTAAAAAAAATTTATGCAAAAAAATCATTATAATATTATTTGATTTTTATACGGAGACTCTAGTAGCGTATTTCATAAAAATAAATTTCCTCTCCGATATAAGGAAAAGTATGCTGGCCAGGTTCATGATTTTATCTGATCAAATTTGGCCGAAATATCTGTGCAACGTCACTTACGACATAAAGACGCGCTTCCATATATGCCGAAAACGTGGAGAGATCTTCGAGATACTCTCTTTCGAGAGAATATTTCGGGAATCACCCAGCGTAGCCACGTCCGGCAGAAACGTGGCCTTCCAGAGAAACGGCCACTGACCCGATCGCGCGTGCTGCAGAAGGAATCGATTCTGCGACCGTGGCGGTATCCTGGATATATATCGATCGATCTTACTTGGGTCTTGGGATCGAGCGAAGCGTGGAAACGGCTTTTATGGTGCCGACAACCCGGCATAATACTGCCGCGGCTGCCGTCGTTTCAAGGGTCCACAATTTCAACGAAAACGCACGTCGCAGCAGTCGTCAGTTGGGATGCAAGTGAAAGCAGATTTACACTAATTGCACCGAACAATCATTTATAATTAGTACATTAAACGTGATTTTGCTTAGGTCATTAGAAATAATTAGTTGGATAACAAATTAATTTACATTATATTGCATCAGAAATTAATTTATACTAAGACTGTATTTCAATATCGACAAATAATCGACAAATGCACAGTTTGTATAAACTGAAAATTGTAACAAAAATTTATGCAAAAAAATCATTACCCATCAAAATCCGCTTTGACCAAACATGGCTCTCTTCGTTTATTTTAATTTATATCATATTATTTCGCTTATATTAATTTATATTATGTTATAAATTATTTCATGCACGATATATAATTAAATTTTTGTTTGTACGTACAAAAAAATAAAGTTTTTTTAATTTCTCTCAGAAATATTCTATAACTCCAAATAATCATCCAAGTGGTAATTCAAGAAAAAAAACAATGTTTGACCGTAATGTGAATACACAATAAGTAAAAGGCCTTATCGGTCTCAGCTGGAATTTAATATTTAAATAATATTTAAATAATATTTTAGTATATACATATCCAGTTTTATAACTGCGCGCCGAAATAATTTTCAATCTTTAAGGAAATCCTTAAGTCGTCTATATTTGTGTTTTATCGATTATTTTTCAAATAAATATATTTTTAACTATCTTTAAAAATTCTTTATAATATTAAAATATAAACGATGATGTAATCTAAATCAGTCAATTTTTTGTCAAAAATTACAGTTTTTTATTGACTTCTGGCGTCAACTTGTAACAATATTTGCTTTAACATACAAATTTTACATACTTTATATATCTACAAACAGTCTTGGTTTTGATTAAATTATATGAACAAATAAATCTTAGAATAAGACGTATGTTAGATATCTAATATGAACGACCAGTTATTTATAAAATTTATGTGTATGTGTGCGTGCAATATTGATATAGTAGTGTGTAGTAATATGTCAATGACACGTAAATCGTACATGCTAAGTCCTGTGGTGTTGAATCGATAAAACAGATGACTTTAGAATCTCCCAAACATATAAATCAAACTGGATTATACCAAATATCACAAATTAAATTGTCAAAATTATACTGATGTTAATAACCAATCTAAAAAATTGCAAATAATTTATTGCGAAAAATAAGAAACCTAATTAAGGTAAATACTAAATATAAGCATATTCAAGCCTATAACGATCAAAGCTAGATCTTCTCAATGCCTAAATAATTCAGTGAATTATCTATATCCAATAAATGTACATGCATATATACCATACACAGTGCGACAAATATGTTCCCGGACACGAACCACATCTCAGCAACCAGTGGCAACATCTGTGCGTTCAAACATGCATTTGAAAGGTTTAACATTTCCCTATCTATCTGTCAAAGTTTCATTCATTTTGGTTGACATATAACGAAGATATCACAGTTCATGTTAAACAAGATTTTGGTCGAGGTAGAAATTTTAATATGGAACAAAGAGCAGTGATTAAATTTAACGCAAAACTTGATAAAAGTGCATCAGAAACATTCCGATTGATGCAACAAATTTACGGCAATCAATGTCTAGGTCGTACAGCTGTTTTTGAGTGGCATAAGCGTTTTTTGGAAGGCAGAGAGACCCTTGAAGATGACAAAAAATCAGGACGGCCAATTTTGGTTCGAACACCCGAAATGATCGAAAAAGTACGTAATTTTGTTGCAAACGATCGCAATGCGTCACTAAAAATGATGGAGGAGGCTTTAAATATCAGTAGAGAAACGATTCGAACCATATTACATGAAGATTTGGGTAAAACGAAGGTTTGTGCGAAGTTTGTTCCACACACATTAAGAAGCGATCAAAAATCAATGAGAATCAATCATTCCAGAGACATTTCTACCTCGACCAAAATCTTGTTTAACATGAACTGTGATATCTTCGTTATATGTCAACCAAAATGAATGAAACTTTGACAGATAGATAGGGAAATGTTAAACCTTTCAAATGCATGTTTGAACGCACAGATGTTGCCACTGGTTGCTGAGATGTGGTTCGTGTCCGGGAACATATTTGTCGCACTGTGTATATATATTTTCAAAATTTTTTCAGACTTTATCAAACGCACAATTAACCTACTACAATAATATCACAAGGTAAATTAAATTGACAAGCAAATTCTCAATCCGATATCATATTATAGGGGTGTTAAACTGCTGAAAACCTTAAATAAATTTATCGCGAAAAATATTACTTAGTTAGGGTAACATATATCTCGCAATAAACTATTTACAGTTTTTTAAAATCCTTTATTAGCATCAATATTATTAAATTGCTTGGCAATTTAATTTGTGACGTTACTACAGTTCGGTTTAAGATCGCGTTTAAAATAATTTTGGCGTGCAGTTGTAGAATTGGATATATACATAAATTCACATCAAAAAATGTTATTTAAGTATTAAGACCCTGCTCAAGAAAATAATAATTTAATCAATCGTTAAAAAAAAGATTAAGAATTATCCAACATTGCCATATAAGTTTAATTTACACATTTTACTTTTGTGAGATTACATTGCTCAACATGTTTCTTCTCTCTCGACGCAGTTCATCTAAGGTATGACCAGCGGAAGCGTAACACGTAAATTCGCCTTAAGTATATTCCCACTCGGGCGGGCCCCCGAGTTAATAAGCAGCCGAAGTACCGACCAAATTTGTGGCTCCTAACCGTAACGCCACGTCCCGCACTACACCCACTAATATAGCTCGCGTACGCGTTCACCTACACGCTACCCACGAAGCTTCTACCATGCCAAATCCCCATGCGATATGTTTATATCTGCTATAGCAGTGGCGACGACGACGACGACGACGACGACGACGACGACGACGACGACGACGACGACGACGACAACGACAACGACGACGACGACGACGGTGACGACGGCGACGACGACGGCGACGGCA